TTAATAGTTTGTGTATATTAACAGTCAACTATTTTAACGTAGACAACCTTTTTCGCTTGTTAAGGCCAAAGCACATATGACAGTCGTAGTCGTGGACGTAAGTAACGCACAAGCTTTGGCGTATCCTGATCTGTCAGGTCGGGAACTACGACCGTCGTATATCGCTACGCCATGTTATGTGCTTTGACTCTTACTCGGTATACATCAGAACGTATATTAACTCATAAACTTTATTGATTTTGTTTAAATACATATATTTCATATTTTTATACTTGTGATATTTGTATGTTTTCTTTTCCTTTCTATTGTTCTTTTTTCTTTTCATTATTAACTTTGTATGTATGTATGTATGTATATGTATATTCGTACCTAGCTTTTATTTTCGCATGCTTAGTACATTAAAAGAATTTTTCCGTCATCAAGTAAATGAAACATCGGTCGACTATATTAGTCAGAATTGAAATATTATATAGGAATTATCGAAATACAAAAAATTTGAATAAAAATATCAAGTCTCTGTTCCATTATTCTTTTGCGCAAAAATTTTACTCGCGAGGCAACCTTTTAACGCTTAAATTTGAACGAGGCTGTTGGAATGTTCAAATCAATCGCGAGAATGATCGAGTTGCGTCAATAATTTATGGAGATTATTCGTAAAACGTTTTACCGACTAGTTAGAATTTCGTAATTATCAGTTGCAATTTTAAATCAATTTAGGTAGATTGATAATCTCGGTGAAAATCCGAATTAGTCATGAATCGAGATTTAGTCTCGCACTTGACTAAAGACGTAGCATCATTCGCCATATTTACAACGCTTGGTGCGTCAACCCGTCAACAGACACCTCTGTACCGTCTGCAGATGCTTTGCGACTTTGCGCGCCCGTGCCCCGTACACGCCTATAGAGAACCAAGTTTTGTGTGCACGCGTTACGTTTCCCTCGTGCCGATCTCTCATCATTTCGCGACAGTCGAACGTTTGTTTCAACTTAAATAAGGAGGAAAGAAAGGAGGAAGGATTCTATGCTCGAAAACGAGAGCGGCAAGCGCATCATAGGGAGAGGCTAAACGCTCCGGATTGAGACTCAAGTACCGTGTGTTGGGCGTGTCATAATGCGTGCTATTCTAGCCTTAATATGCGTGTTTCTGCAAACGGGTAAGAACATTTGTCCAACGCAAATTTCGCACGCACGTCACGTACGCGATCGTTCCGCTATGATAGCGCCATATTTTTTCCAACTGGAATAATTCCCTTTTGTCGTTCGACGATGCATGCCATGCCGTGCCGATGTAGCTTGACATTTCTCAGCCAGCAAGTGACAAATCATAGACATTTATACCGTTGCTGTTTCAGTTGCGGCTCAACGTACTCCGACAATATCTTACATATCGCAGGAACAAATTAAGGATATCGGGGAAACGGTAGAACTGCATTGCTCCGTTCAGTACGCGCAGGAGTATCCCGTCTTGTGGATAAAAGTTAATAGAGAAAACGTACACGAGCAAGTGGCACTTTCTACCGGCACTGCGTTGATAATCAGAGACAGTAGATTCGCCCTTAGGTATGATACAGCGTCCACCACTTACCAATTACAGGTAAGATTTCATTAGAATGTTGTTCCGCCTCCTAATCGAACCTACCTTCGTTGATCAAGTTTTAAGCATTAAATATGGGATATGGGTTTAATACGTCTCACATTTTAGGTTAAAGACATACAAGAAACGGATGCTGGATACTATCAATGTAGAATACAAATATCTGTAAATAATCTCATAAGCGCGGAAGTGGAATTACAAGTCCGTAGGCCACCGATAATTAGCGACAACTCGACCCAATCGCTGGTAGTTAGCGAGGGACAACCTGTTCTATTGGAATGCTACGCCAATGGCTTTCCGCCGCCAAGAATATCGTGGCGTAGAGAAAACAATGCTATTTTGCCTACCGGGGGATCGATCTATCGGTACGGCAATTAAATTAAATTATTATTATTAAATACTTGGCAAACAATATTTCATGTATTATGTAATCCGAAAATATTGCAGTGGCAACACGTTAAAAATATCTTTCATACGGAAAGAGGATCGCGGAACGTATTATTGCATCGCTGAGAATGGCGTTGGACGCGGTGCCAGACGTAACATTAATGTGGAGGTGGAATTCGCGCCGGTAATCACAGCTCCTAGGCCACGACTCGGACAAGCTTTGCAATACGATATGGATTTGGAGTGTCACGTAGAAGCATATCCTCCGCCAGCTATCATCTGGCTAAAAGACGACGTACAGTTGTCAAATAATCAGCATTACAGCATATCACATTTTGCAACCGCGGATGAATATACTGACACAACGATTCGAGTTATTACTATTGAAAAACGACAATATGGAGAATATGTGTGTCGTGCAGCCAACAAACTGGGTACTGCTGAAACGAAAGTTGAACTTTTCGGTAAGAGAATACAAAAAAAGAAGACTCGTGTATTTCTGTGTATTGTATGTAGCTGTAGATAACGTTCGAATCTAGTTGAAACAATTAACTATATTGGAAACAAATTTTTTATCAATATGTTGACTGTGCATGATAACAGTGAAATCATGCATCATGCATCATTTTTATCATGTTATCTCAGTTATGAATTTCAATCTTCAATTTATATCAATGTGTATCTCTCTATATCTTAGTCTAATTTAACATCTTTCGATCCTTTGTTTTCTTTTCCTTAGCCAGCCAATTTTTATTTTCGTAGCTAGCATGTATTAGATTTGTTCCCTCTTTTGTTTGCGCAGAAACCATTATCCCTGTTTGCCCGCCAGCTTGTGGTCAAGCTCATTATGGAACTGGCGTAGTTCCAGTTTCTTCCGGACCTTTGGTAGTTCTAGTTTTATTAATTACAATGATAATGAGGTAAGTCATGTTTTATATATTTTCTTGCAATAATGATAGCTTAGATATCGATCATAACATTTGATATATTCGTCCATCATATTGTTTGATTGTAGATCCATGTTCGATTGTATAGGTCTCGCATTAGTTTCTATATATATATTTTTTTACAGAAATTTCTACACCAAATATTAACTATCCGGGCCTTCAATGGGCATCAGCGGCAATTCGATACGACTTCTTGAAATGGCTCTATGCAACCGTCAGCTTTATTGTTGTCGCAATAACGCTGTAAAACCAAAACCTAAACTGTAAGGGCCTCGATTACTGTTTTACTAACTTACTTTCTATATTTGTATCGTGCAATTATTTTTATAGTTATTTACAAGCAGACCAATTTATCTCGTTAATGAAAAACGCGCATATCGTGACACGTTGCACTGACCACAGTGCACAGTGAATTTAGTATTGTTATTTACACATTCGGCTATTTACGATACTCGCATTTTTAGAATTTTAAAACTTTTTATGTATATATAGGTATTCAAATGCGATTTTTATATTGGGATCTTTATATTCAATTTATATTTGTTTTCTTTTTAATCTTGACTTATTTTTTTTCTTTAAATGATACGCGTAATAACGCCGCTCAATTTTTACATCGAAATTTTAACTTTATTTAAACGCAATCAAGGGCGCAATCAGTATGATTAACGCAGGACGTTATAGAGAAGGAGGCATGACACGATTCTTATAAAGAGTAACGCCCAAAATGGCCCTCAAATATTCCCTTTTTGAGCAAAAAAATTAAATTAAGTAAGATACCGTTGAAAAGATTTTCAAAAGTAAATCATTATTTGTAAATAAACCAATCCGACGTCTAGTTTCCGAAATATCGTGGATCCAGTCAAGTTGCCTGATTTGTCAATAGTAAACGTGTTTCTTTGAGTAAGGTGCTTCAAAAACATGGCCCGAAGAGAACGTTTACGCATTGCACTGCAATGCGAGAGAAGGTGTGTGTGCGCTAAATCGAATTCAATTTTCGAATACTACGTTGGGCGTATGCAAAAGTTCAAAATTGCCTTTAATGGAGTTTAGTTGATTTTTTATTTTATTGAAAACGGTTTATGATAATACAATAAAAGTATATTTGTATAATCAGTAAAAAAAAAGTTTTTTTTTTACTGATTACACTGACTGAAAATTGAATCTGAATTTTTTTCATATTTTTCATTTTTGCTCAAAAAGGGAATTAGGCATCACTTTTTATCACGCTGATATGGTACTTGTTGGCACATTTTAATTACTAGAAAAAGTAATTTATGTACTCTTACAAATAGAGGCACCAACGATATACAAATGTTATTGGAAAGATACAAATCAACATTCCAGTACACATTTATATGATGAGACACACACACACACACACACACAATGTTATGTAACGCGGCGTATAAACAGCTCAAGAGAACTTGTTCGCTTCGATACAACCGTGTCGACGGACAAGTAAAAAATAATAATGTTACAAAGCATATTACACACAATATTATCCATCTTACTTATATAGTTATTAGTAATTGCAAATCGACAATACAGATTTGTAGAATTATCTAGCTACCCCCGTTAACGAAAAAATTTGGAATGTCATGAACAAAGAAAACAATGTTGATGTTAGTGCCTTGTTCGTGATATAAAAAAATGTAATTTATGTTAAAAGTAAAATTATAAATGTGTGCAATGTATAGACAAGACACATAACGTGTACGTATGTATACAACACTTTATGCGTTTTATCAAGCACGTATTTCTACTTACTGCACATTTATAATCGCCATCTCTTTTAACAAGGCGTACAACACATAGATGTTATACAACCTGATAATAAGAGAAAGTAGGAAGCGAGGATCTTAATGAAAATAATCTCAGCAAGTTTTTATATACTCTTTACAAGTTTCCAATTTTATACTTGCTAATATTGTAATTTGTATTTGAAACTCGACGCGCCATGATACTCGTAATATTTATAATAACTGTAGTATTTATACACGTTGTGAACAATTGTGTATTGTCAGATATACCATGGCTATATAATATGAGTGGTAAAGTTTTATACAGGTATTCGTTTGTACTACGATATCGCATTTTATTACTTAAAACTCCATGCATTTACATATTCAGCCAAATTTATGTATGGAACAAGCAATAAAATTTTATAAAAAGAAAATATTCCTTGTCTTTTTTTGCTACATATATACATGCAAAAACTTGGTTTCAAAACTTGAAAACAGCCTTGCTTATGTCTCCCTTCTTCAATGCATCGAGAGCTTCTTTATATTGGGACAAAGAAAATATCTTGATTCCTAATTTATTGTAATCAAGATGTCTTTCAGACAACGATTGCACCAAAGCTAATCCTTTAGGAAAACAGTAGGGATTTATAATCACGCCTATAATGCTCAACTCCTTTTTGTAAATCTGCACAATAATTATAAATTTTAGTAAGAGAATATCGAAACTTTTAACTCTCAACCATATAACCCGAGTGGGAAATTTATACCTGAAATGGTTCAATCGATAGTTTTGCTTTTGGATTAGCAACACCGAATACGCATAAACGACCACCGGAATTTAGCAAAGACATGGCCAATTCCATGGCTGGAGCACTGCCGCTACAATCCACAGCCAAGTCAAAATCTTCTTTCAATTCCGTCGGACTTTTAACTTTATAATCGAGACCTATTTACATATAAATATATTGCCGTTAGAGAGAGAGAGAAAGAGCGCTTTTCCAAATTTTTCAATATTACTTATATTACCAAGATTAGAGGCAAGAATTTTTCGTTTTTGTTGCGGTTCACTGATAGTGACAGTTTTTCTGAGACCGTGCAAATGAAATAGAGAGGCCCACAATAAACCTATGATACCGGCGCCTATTACGAGAACCTTGCTTCCTATATTTACAGGATTGATTTTGTCCCAGCCGTGAGCCATGCATGACAACGGCTCACTAAGCACTGCGTGGCGCATTTCAATTTCATCCGGGATTAAGTATACCTATCAGAAATACCGATAATATTATTTATATCATACGAGCGATACGGATATCACAACTCACAAAGCGAGAATAGTTAAAACAAGAAAATGGTAAAAATGGGGCGTTACGTGCACAAAATATTTCAAAGAGATGTCTTACATATTAAAGACGAATATATCTCTTTGACCAATCTATATAGAATCGAATTTTTTTCAATAAAAATATCGAATAACATCATTACTTATATTTCAATTTTTACATGTGTTTTTATATTCTTAAATTAAAATTCTATTAAAATAAACTTTATTTGAAATTAATTACAATAGTCTTGTTATTTACTCGCGCGCGACTTTCTGAAATTTAATCCGCGAACAATTTTTTTGATATTTTTTGTATCACAAAAATTATTAATATATTTAGATATTTTTGCTAAAAAAAAAAAGAATCAAATTAATCGAAAAATCATACATCCAAGCTTTCTTGGGCATTCTGTGTATATGTGCCGCATATACCTGTGTTTCTGGAACAACAGCGTGCGTAGCCCATCCACCATCTCTAAAAATTCCTATAGTATTATTTATACCACCGTGGGTACAAAAATGATAATTCGCACTGTGACAATCATTGCATTTGTTGCATCCACTGTTGGGATCGACAGCGACACGTTGACCAATTTTATAAATAGTCACTTCTGATCCAAGTTCATCGATAGTACCTACAAACTCGTGTCCAAGAGTCAGAGATCCATCTTCTTTACATGGAAAGCTTCCCTACAAGACTCGTGTTATTTTAAGAGATTGAAGAGTATACATATGTATATCGACATGTGTAGATATATGTAATCGTGTGTCAGATGATGTCACAATATAAGCAATCAACAAAGTTTTTCAACTTTTATCATGAATCACATTAGTTGAAATAAAAGTGTAATTATCAAACTGTATAATGACATCAACTTTATCACTGCAATTATGACATGAAATATGTATATTATCTTCTATTAATTTTCAATATTTTTCCAAATAAATTCCGAGTAATTTAAATAATAAAGTCTATGATTCTTATAATTTTTGTCCAATTTGTAATAATAAAATATTTTTACATCATACGAATGAGCGATATCACATTTATTCGAAACAAAATGACGTATTTAAATATTTATAAAATTTTACCAACCATTTAAAATAATTGTAATTTTTTACATTCTACAATTACGATAATAAAAGTGACATATTTTTATAATGGTAACATACTTCCAAAACATGAAGATCCGTTCCACAAATTCCAGAATACGCGACTTTAATTCGGACTTCGTTTGCCGCTGGTTTAGGAAGAATATCCCGTTTTTTTAAATCAAGTGATTTGCTTGACAAATTGAAGCTCAAATATTCCATCGTGCAATTTCTATCCGCTCCGAGTCGTCTTGATCGAGTACACTAAGAAATCCGGCCGTCATCATCCGATATTTATAAGTTGACGACATCAAGTCGTAAACTTACACCTTTAACCGATAACACTAATGTCTTATCAAATGCCGAGTGATTGCGCAAGACTGATACATGTAGAGTGATTGTCGGCTTGTTGTCACCCAAAGGTCAGGGCATTTATATAAGTAGATTAAAGCAAAAACAAAATTGTTCAAACGTAAGATACAATTATTTATGAAAACTTACAGCAACGTTGCAATCTTGCAAATCGCAGTGCAACGTTGCAGAGATATTATGGAAACGTGGAAATAGAAACAAGATTGCAATATAATATCGGCTTGTAGAGTATTAAAAACAAAATAGGATGCCATAATACTTGATCCTCTATATATCGGATCTAATCTTCTGTTTAAAAAAAAATGAAAGTTTTCAAAAATTTAAATCTCAACTCGGATCTCAATCACTCTGATTTCAATCTCGCGGGATTGAGAAATGTCTATAGAGAAGATGCAAGTATTTCAGTAAGCTAATAATTTATTATTTTACGACCATGTACGTTATCTTGATTAGGCATTTGGAATCTCTAGAGAGTTCTTCAAAGTCTTTTAGGTGCGCATATCCATTAGTTATAACGAATATAATGAAGACAATCGTATACATTTTCATGGTAATTGGTGAAAAACATCGCTTCACGTACGAGAGATATGTGATTCAATTAATCATCACTTTAAGCGGGAGCTCTTTTTTTTCACCTCGAGGTAATATGATGATGCTGAAGCGGAAAATTCATTCATGCACGGCAGATCGACTCGTTGTGAACGAATGTCCTTCAATTCATGAGAAATTTCGGGTCAACGGGACGCACGAAGCTGTGGATAACTGGTTGCACCGGGAAACCGGAAATGGGGTCGAGAATGACGTCATCTAGCCTCAACTCCGTTTATTCAACCCCCAGGGATAAACTAGGTTACTGGGACAAGCTACCCTCTCCCCCCTATGCTGATATTTTCGCGAAAAGAGATTTCTCATTCAAAAAAAAATACGCTCTAAATTACGAAATACATGCATGCTTTTTAAACGATGCTACAAATGATGCAATCAACAAAAAGTGCTAAGTATCTCGATAATCCAATTTAAGATTGTAATAAATCTGTGATTAAATCGAGTCTATAATTAACAAACGTATCGCTCTTAAAATCAGGTTGCTCCAAAATCTTTGGTTAAATTGAGAATATTTAACATCGATGTTTGACATTATAGCATGTTAAAAAAAATTTCGTTTTTTTAGTATATTTTCCAGACAAAAGTTATTCAAGAGGCAAAAATCTAATTTTAGCTCCGTCGCGTTTTCCTAACGATATAAGAGAAACGATCAAAGCTTTAACGACCCACAGATTGACATTTACACAAAGCAGTACGAGCAGAATAATTTAATAATAAACGCCAAGTACTCTCGTAAACATTTGTGTCTTATTTTTACTTTTCTTTACGTCGAATGTCGAGCAAAAAAATAACGCGAGCAGATGTATTTGACGTTGAATATTTCACGGTATACATACATTCAAAATGGTTTTTTTTTTTTTTTTTTTTTAGAAATTGTCCTGCCGCGTATTCACAAGTAGCCAATAATGGCACGTGCTTTGATTTCTGAACGAGCTGCAAGGTGAATGGACCGTTCAACGTCACAGCCTCAAAGTAGGTCGCCGTGGACGGCTCTGGGTCGCGTATCGCCTTGTCCCTTGTACTGCCGCCAGCAACAGCAGTACAGTTCATTGAAAAACCGGGACTCGATCAATATCTCCCCCGATAAGCACATTAATAGCAATGTGCGACATGGATGAATACCGAATTCTAGGCTCTTTGTGTAATAATCGTTCATCGAATCGGGTCGTCGGAGTTTGTGCCCGACTCGTATCTGAGAGAGAAAAACGATCGAGAAAACATGGGATAGAAGAGGGAAAAAAAGAAGACGAGACAAACGCATGAACGGAAAGCGGAAGCAGCCAAGTTGCTGCTCAATGGAAGAGCTGAATCCCTACGAGCGGATGCGAATGGGTAGGCAGCCCATTGAAGGTTACACGGATATTCGCATTGCGTATGCGCAGTTGTTTGACGTTTCTCTTTATCCAGCAAAAGGATATGGATACTCGCTTCGTGTCTGTTTTCTTCGCTGCTCCACGCAAAGAAATCTCATCGCGATAACGAAAAGAGAACTGCTATTATATATACAAATAATCTTATCATGAGAACTTTTGATTTCTTTTAATACAATATACGTGAATACAGGATACCCCAAAAAAGACCAAAAGATCTCTTGATCATTTTACAACAAAATGTCGAAATACAAATAATTTTCGAATCATAAGCGATATTGTATTTGCTTTCTCGCAAACTAAACTTTGAATCGAATAAATAACAGAACTTTTACTTTTTCATTAGTTTATTTGTATCAAGCGGAGTTTACCTTGATGATAGAATCTTAATTTTAGACTCCAGTTACGAAGATGGTATAATGCTAATATACAAATTGGAAAACTTTGATAAATGATAATCTGTTTCGATATTTTTGCCAAGGCACAACTGATTATCAAAGAATCTGTTGTTAAAAATTAATGCACGAAAAGATATCTCATTTAATTTAGCCAAACATTGTTGCGATAGATTAACACAACACTACGATTAATACATAATGGAAAAAAAAACGCGTAGAGTAGGGAAATAGCATGTTTTGTTAATGTTAAAAATACATTGGATACGTAAATCGAGACTTGCGTAGGCGTAGGTCTCCTTTTCGCTTATCTCGCGATTACATGTGTGTGTGTGTTTCGAGTTTTTTTTTCCTTGAATCATTGATTATCTGCTTAAACGAGACGTATATCGAAGACTTCTCTGTTTTCTGTAGCTTGGCTATCGGAAACCGGATATGACGTAGCTGTCTACGATCTTTCAACACCCTCTGTCTGTAAAAAAAAAAAAAAAAAAACATCTATTCCTCAGTAAAACGGATTAATTTAAACGACGTCTATATGTATATAAAAGCGACACTTGGAAAATTGCGCTTTTCGCACGTCTTTGCTCGCGACGTTTTATTTCTCTCCGTTAAACAAGTTTTACATATACAGTAAATATATAGAACTGATATATCTGTGTAGTATCTGATATGCATACAGACAATGCTATATGAAATGTGATTTCTGTAAGGAGTAAATCTCCAAGAATACTATCAAGGCCGCCGAGCTCTCTGTCGTGTATCCCACCGGAAACGGATATGACGTGTTGGTCGAATAAAGTAATTAAAAAATTTCATTCTCGTGTGCAGTCATTGGATTTGATTAGATAAACTGTTACGAATAATCACGCTACTATTACTATATCACGAACATAAAAATATTGATACGTTGTATGTGTGGGTGTGTCAGTAGTAAAAATATTAAAAATGGAAAACAAATTAAGACTAACGTGAATTGACATTTGATAATTCTATCAATAAAACTATTAATACCTTAAAAGTTTTCTTACTAGAAGCCTGCATATTCATTATTGTTAAATCTGTGTGTCACGTGTGTAAGATTAATCATTATCATGTTCATGTATTAATTATCTAACGTGTAACGTTAGGTATACGTGTCCAATTCTAATTATTTTCATTAATTGCAACGAAAAGTGTAGTGTAAGACTCTTGTTCTGACACACACACACACACACACACACACACACACTCTCTCTCTCTCTCTCTCTCTCTCGTTAGGTTACTCGTGAAATTACGTATTTATCAATCAACTGCAATAAAATAAAATGTAATAAGATAAAAGATTGACAGAACGAGAGGGCGTAGAAGTTTGCTGCGTGCGTATCGATTGGGGACGCTGTTCGCCAACGAGACTAGCCTACATTCTGTCTCCTTTCTTCACCCTCCCGAGTTACGAAGGCCGATTTGTCTCCCTCCCTCTACACCCTCTCATCGACCTAGAAGTTCTCATTCAACGCTCCCTCCTCTTTGCTCTTACTTAACCTTGCCACCCTCTATCATTCTCTTTTTGTCTCCTCTTCTCTTTCGATTGCATTTCGGTGGACGTTTGAAGGAAAATAGAGATAACAAAAATATAACAAACAGGCAGCAAGTATGATAAATAACAGCAGGGAACATATTAAATATCGCTCGGCTTAAGCTCATAAAGCAGAGAATATATGTAATTGATGCACATAATAATAAAAGCAAAGATTTAGACTTACGAGAATTCGACGATTGAACGAGTTGGAAGGGAAGGCGAATTAACATTAGAACAGCAAATGGAGAATTTTGCCCTGTTTCCAAAGTTTTTTCACGAATTTCAATCGAAACATAAATTTATATATACTTTTATCGCAAAACTTTAAATTAGCATTTCGAACAAGCGAGATTAAATCAATGTTGCGCAATTCTGTAATTTTCACAATCTCGAAGAAAATTCGGCGGTTGTAGCGTTTAAAACTCTTGTCGGTGGATATCGTATCCGTTCCAGCGCCGTTTATCAAGGGGTATCGTTGCGGGTGCCGCGCGGTGGTACGTACGACGAGGGGCGAGGCCACGTACCGCTACAGAGGGAAGGGTGGCTCGGTGAATCGTATCCGTGTCACGAATGCGCGCGTCTGCTGCACTCCATCCCCTCGCCACCCCTTCGCGGTCAGCGCGAAAGAGGTGAATGCAGTTGGCCGTCATTTTGCAATCCGTTCAGACGCCATTCAGATGCGCTCGACGCGAGTCCGTTCCGACGCAGTCGCGCAATTTATCTGCGAAGCTAACGTATCGTATTTTGTCATCCACCGCGATGTCGATGTGCGCAGGGTGATGCCGTCGAACGAGACAATATCTTAACGAGACGTGACAGACCACCTCGAAAGGAGGAAAAGGACCTTCTCACTCGCCCTCGGCAAGGTACATGACCAACGCAAATGCGAGAGTATGCATGTGTGTTTCGACGTTACCATTTAAAAGCGTTTCCGTACAAGTTTTGCGCGCAATATCATTATGCACTGAGTTGTATGTCGAATATATCACATGTTTATGATTATCGGCTTTTCGAAAATTATCGGCTTTCTCGCAAAAGTCAAACGAATCGTGTATCGAATAAAAGTAACTGTAAAAGCTTCACTCTATGTGTGAAAACATCTTATTGTTAATAATAATCGCAAACGACAAGACTCAACATGGATTGAGTAATCGAATAATCAATTATACGTTAATGCGAAATATATTCATTAAAGTACATGATCGCAGTTATTAGACTTATATATCCGTTAATAATACGTACATGTTGCGACTTTACGAGAGACTATATATTTTTACGATATTGTATCTACAATAAAATGATTAATTTAATGATTCCTACATATCACGACAAGATTATAAACTCCGACTACAAACTCTGAAATCAGAACTCGACTCGATGGCATGTATTCTTTTCGTAAACAATAATTGCGCGTAAAACATAGCTGTTTATCGAACCAAAAAGACGCTATTTTTTATCAAGAACAAATCAAACTATATCTTTTATACACGATTATTTTATGTTAACAACATATATCGACTTGGCGATATGAAAAATTGTTGCGTTTGGGAAATTTTTTTATTTGATCGTTGAGAAAAATGATAAAAAAACAATCAAATTATAATTGTCCACAAGCATTCGAGTTTCCTTCCTTCGACCAATCGTCGTAAAGCAATTTTACGCAAGTGCGTGCGCCCTACGAAAACTCGTAAGCTTCCTGTGGAAGGATGAATGGGGATCAAATCAGTCGGCAGCGCGAGGGCTGCTCGGACATTCGTGCGAGCTTTTTCGTCGCGCTTGAGAGTACGTTGCCGTATACTAGATTTTTTAATTCTCGTGTTTAGAAAGTACTTTTTTTGTCTTATTCACAATATGAATCGCAAACGCGTGAGCTTCAGGCAGTGATCGAGATTTTTCTCGTTTTTCTGGTCGGCTTTACTAAATGGTATAGAGATATTTCAATCGTTTTTAATTTTTCGACAAGTTATAAGATGTATTCTCTTTTATCTCGAAACAACAAAGCGGTTTATTTACGTTAATGTGAAATCGAGGCACGTCAAGTCGAACATTTAGTTCCGGAGTGCTTATTGATTTTTTTAGTTACTACAATAATGATCAATGACGATTGCCGTTATCGTACTATAGTCGGTAAGTAAAAAGTATCAAGTTTCGTCGTTTGTCTGTAAAAAAAGAATCGTCGAAATAATATCAAATTAGAAATTATATTAATTTGTTACTTATAATTTAATCGCGTCACGAAATTGAGTTAAAGAGATATCAAAGAGGGATATAACTACGAAAATAAAACGCAAATAATGCAGATTTAAAGAGGAATGAATGTGATCTTGAGCAAAAGCGTAAACGGCAAATATGGACATCCGGTTTCGTGAATCATCACTTATATTCTTGAGAAACACGTACGTAAAAAGTTTGGAAATATATTCGAGGATGTTTTGCTATCCTTGAAATCAATGAATAAACTGCTATAATATTTGAGTTTTAATTAACAAATCTTAGATAATTAAAAGTAAGAGAATACGTGGTGATTTCAGAAAGAATTTTTCAAGTAATAAAAGATATTTAAAATTTTAATTGCTAATCGAGTACGACCGTGAACCGATGCGAGGATGCTATTTTATTACACGGTAATTTCTATTTACACGAACCAATTCGAATGTTCAAAAATCTTAAGCAATGTATCTTATCAGACGTTGCTCATTTTGATTTTCTACATTTTAATTATTCCTAGAACTAGTTGTCAAAAGAGAAATGAAAGAAAGAAGACAATCTTGATTTAAAGTTAAATCTTTTTGAGCAACCGTTTTGGATAATCGCGCGGAGAGATTAAAATGGATCGCTCACGATATTGCGACAGGTTTGAAAAGGAATGGTATTCATTGAACGCGATGACAATTCGTACGGCACGGGATAACGATCCGCTTTTCGTTTCTTTCCGCGATGCGGGGTGGTGTACGTAGAGGGCTTTGCTCCTCCAAATCAACTATTCGGAGAAAAGAACGTCTACTCGAGCATCGGATAAACGTAAAACTCGTTTCCGAATGTGACATTACTGTCATTAATCGCACGTGCTCCGCTTTCATTCACGCCAACTCCCACTCCCGTGAATAACACGGTACAAGCGTTTACATTCACGTCGCGGTTGGTCGGTACCAATGGGCCGACGAGACCGTCGCCGTTCCTATTGGCCGTCGCTTACTCCTGACGTACTATACGAGAGAACGAGAGGAATGCGAAACGATCGTGAAGCACTATGAATAGAACCGAAGCTCCGCGGGTCAAGACATATGAAACGGTGCGTCTCTCGGGCTCGGGTAGTTCCGACAAGGAGTTTGCCTGGTTTCGACACCGTCTCGCAATATGGCCGTATCGCCGTACACACAACCCTCATTCTCGGAGCATCGTGCCCGTACGTCACATGTCAATCGTACGCTGCTCACACTATTGTCCTATGTGCTGCTGACAAAAGGTACCGATCAAACATCAGTGTGAAAACTAATTCTTGTCTTTCGTTCGCTCACCCGCTCGCTCATTCATTCGCAAACACCGTGCATATCCGCTCGCTATTATTACATCAACGAGAAAACAGGATGTGATTTATTCACGATGCTCCGACTTCGGGATAGTGTGCGTGCGTGCGTGCGTGCGTGCGTGCGTGCGTGCGTGCCACCCGTATATATCCGCGTATGCAATTCATGGCTGACTAATGACAAATGAACGATTTTACATCTGTTTCGTGTCCCTATTCCATTTCCCAATCCGTTGCATCTGTCTCCAGTGTCTCTCTGCTTTCATTTCACGATTCTCTTTTTATCGTTCATTAGACTTGACGAATTATTTTCACTTCTTGTTAACGCAACGCAGAATAAAAACTTTTCTCTTTCATTCTACGTTACCTATTAGTCGAACGTGCGTTGTGTTTGTTGCGACTAAAGTCATTATACGTTAAAAATGACAAAATATAATGAAATATGTACTATGAGCAAATTTTGTATACAATATACTTACTTCATAATATCGCAAAGCTTCTAGAGTTACGTTACAGTCTGTGTGTGCAATTTTATAGTTTATGCAATATTATTTTTATTGTAGATGGTACAAGTGTTTCCTTGACTCATCGTCATGCAAATGATATTAATTATTATGATGCAACAATCAGCCATAGCGATAATATAAATCCTCTGGAAAAGTTTTATCTAATCACTGAACAAAAGTGGCATAAGGATACACTAGTGCCAATCTCCTTATCGCCCTCGTCGAAGGGAATGCCTACGAGATCCCATCACAGGTAACACGCTTACGTGTTGTGCAAAAAATCACAATACCAGCTGTAATGTCGATATCCCGGTAATGTTTCACGAAATATTAAGATTTATTCTTTGTCTCAAAGTATTTTTAATACAGAATCCGGCAGTCCGTGACAGGACTGGATGATGCTGGAATGGATCTCCAAGTGGCCCAACTCAGTAGTCAGACAGACAAGGAAGTACATTCCAGGACGACTTTATCATGGCTAGATTGGCATTTGCCTTACTTTGTAGCGCTTTGTGCAATCGCTGGCACTATTCTTTTCACATTCCTAGTAAGCATCACATTTCTTTACGATATAGAAATAATAGAAAACTCGTTCTCCCTTCTTTTTTCTAAAAACAAGTGACTACTTTAAAAGCTTTATAGATTCATGAAATCCAGTTGATTTGATACATATATATCATCAAATAAATTACTCATGTATAATAATAAGATTGTATAATAATAAGCACTTTCCAACAGATCTTGTTATGGCTACGAAAACAAATGTCGCGTGAAAAAGATAACGAAAATGGCGATCGGCACGGTCTGGTCGAGGAAGGTGCCATTTGTCAGCCAGACAAATCAACTAAAGATACAAAAGAATCTGTGGAAGCTAAATGGGTTCACGAAGCATTCGCCAAGCAATCTGCACCCAAGTATCCGGTACGACCAGTTCCTCAGACCTCTTTACCCGAGGTAAGAGAATCTACCGACGCGACGCGTAGATCTGTAATAGCAAATATTAAATTATCGTATTGGAAACAATCTTCGTATTACGTTACAAGTCTTTGGCAACACCCGAACGTAAACCGGAAGCGATACGTATAAAAGCAAAGGGATTGTTGGAGAGACGTGGTTCGAGCACAAGTTTAACCATAGAATTGGCACCAGCTCCCGAAAGTCCGCCACATATGGTTACTCCTACCCGAGAATGTACAACGGAAGAGTTTTTGCTAAGTGCAGGAAATGTATTGTCGAGAGCACAATTGAAAAAGATTGTCCAAGGTACGGGAACGTTGCACAAAGAATTTTGGGAGGTGCCGCTAAATCTACCGGAAAAAGTGGACATTTGTGGCTCGGGAGTGAAGAATCGATACAGCTCTGTTTTACCCAATCCACAAACCAGAGTGGTTCTACCAGGTTGCTCCGACGATCCGCTAGCCGGTTACATAAACGCCAACTACATCCGAGTATGTAAATAGTAATTTTGTGTGTAATAGTAAGAATGGTGCCTGAAAACTTGAATATACATAGGCAGTAGGCAGTAGGCAGTAGGCACCTTTTATTATCAAGTTGCATGAATTTTATAAGCTACAACAGAAAACGAATTTACAGGGATACGACGGCGAAAGTGCTAGATACATCGCGACACAGGGACCATTAGCTAACACGATAGCAGATTTCTGGGAAATGATCTGGGCAGAAAAAGTTCCTGCGATCGTCATGATAACTAGACTGTACGAAGCGTCCAAACCAAAATGCGAGGCGTATTTTCCGTTTGACGTGAATAATCGCATACAAGCTGGATCTTTTACAATTATCGTTAACTATGTCGATACGAGAAACGGATATACCGTCAGAACCATGGAGATCCGGCACGAAAGGGAGAGAAGACATTTGCAGCACTATTGGTAATTACTATGCTATTTATTTTGTCTTCGAGGACTCGATCTTTATTTATATATTTACTATATATATATATATATATATATATATATATATATATATATATATATATACACACAATGTACTAAATTTGCGTATATTGAATTGTGAAATAAATCAATAGGTATGATTCATGGCCGGACCATGCCGTACCTCAAACTGCGGATGCGCTCGTTAGTATGGCCGCGGAGGTAAACGCTTTACCAAGACCAGTGGTCGTCCACTGCAGCGCAGGTATAGGACGAACTGGCTGTTTTATAGCGATAGGAATAGGAATGATTCAACTTCTAAGAGACGGAAATGTCGACGTACTGGGTATTTTGTGCCAGATGAGGTAAGGCAATAATAAGCTCGAAATATATTATGTAATCTTACATAGATCTCGTTGTCAGGAATATACAAAATACAAGTACTTTTTAATATTTTAGATACGATAGAGGAGGAATGGTACAAACGGCTGAACAATATGAATTTATTCATAAAGCACTTAATCTTTTCGAGCAAACACTAGACAGCAAACCGTCGACTTCGAGCGATTGAATGGACATACCCCGCTACTATAGGAATTTCTTTCGCTTATTCTGTCGTGAAACGAGGCTTTATTATTGCCTAAGAGAATGTCACTTCGCACAGGGCTATATGCTTACCGCAAAAGAAAAAGAAAAAAAAAGAAACAAATTTCTAACGAATCTCAATGTTAGCCTGTGAACCGACGCTCTCTCATCTTTATCTCAATATTCGAACGAGTTAAAACTCGTTTAATAAGCTGCCATTTTCTACTGCCATGACAAATCGTTGACAATTGATATCAATCACAGAGCTCAAGAGGTAAAAAAAAGGGTTCACCGTCGGAGTGCATTTTCTAAGCAGGTGCTTTTTAAAACTGAGGTATCATAAATAGCTTAATGAAAAGAGTATTTATGTTTATAATAACGCGCGATATATTAATCGTGCGGCACGTACGCTTAAAAACCAAGATTATATTAATTTATATAAGTTACAAATTAGAAATAATCTCTAAACACGAAACACGGCGATAATGTATTCGCGATTCGTATCATAAAATTTATATCTAAAGATCAGATACTAAACTTGGGATTTAATTATCTACACATTCCTCGTGCGTTAGGGAATAGTTGTCAAGTTCTAATAAAATTTTAAATATACAAAAATGTGTAGAAACGGTTTCGCGACTATGCTAATGTAACTGATACTAATACGATATTCTTCACTATTATCGACGCATCACGATGGAGTAGACACATGACAAAATTTACTAAACTGTTCCAACGTGTAAGAGAGCTAAAGTTAAGCGCGTAATTACTTTAACGATATATAATGTTAAATGTGAGCTAAATGTGAAATTGTATGCGCGTGTGTGTATATACATATATATGTATAATGTATATATACACACGTACACACACACACACACACACGCGCGCGCGCGCGCGCGAATAATTGTTAAAACAATTACTAATTTATGGGACCCAAATCGACTAGGTATTGTCTTATATTCTTAGTGTTCCTATTTGATTTTAAAATAATTTAAAATTTAACCCTTTATGATTTGTTGCTTTTATCTGACCGACTAATTGTAAGACTGAACACGGATAGTACAATATGATTTAGAAGCAAAAGAGAACAATGGGTTGATAAAAAAATCTGAATAAGAGTCAATTTGATAGAGTAATACGAGCCGAATGCAACGTTGTTATAGCGAATATACTTGTACGTATCCACACACACGAGCAACAGCTCAATATTCTTAATTATATTGAATCATGTTGCTCAGAAATGTACACGAGTATATTTGCGCTCTCTAACAATTTTACTCGTTTATTTATCAAATTGAGACTGATTTAATATAATAATTACTTATATTGTAATTTAACTTAATAATAAAAGATCTTTAGCAGTTGGAAGTAAATTCATATTTATATTCTAGAAAAAATATATTATTATATAAAAAAAACTAAATTTGTAACATAATCCTTGTATTGTTGTCTTATGTAAAAAAATGGATCTGTTTTATTTATCTTGTATCTCATCGATGAACTAATATTGTATAAAGAAAGAACTTGAATGTGTGTGTTATACAATATCAGTCAATAGTTACGTAAAAATCAGAAATGTAAATTTAACTTTGAAAATGTCTCGCGTATAATAATATATATATATTTTAAGTGAGAATTAATATTTAATCGATAATGTATTTATCGATTTTAATATATGAATGAGTTAATAGAGTGAAATTACAATAGAATCGACACACTTGAGTTTGAATTATTACCGCGAATTTGCATGACAATAAATAATTATTACAGCGTTAACGTTTTGTTAAATGATTTTAAATGCAAATGATCTTTCTTGGCTGCTAATACTTTTTTAGACTATTTAATAGATAGTAGAGTAAAGTGATAATCGACATATACATATACATGTAAAGTTTTCGACAGTCATGTCAGAATGTCGTTCGAACAATGCCGAAATTCGTGGCGTATGCGTGTATTACATGTATTTTGAGGCGTTACCAACTCATTTTTCATCCAGTTTCATCGTCTCGTCTTAACTTGAGTCTGGATAAATGAAAATCTAAACGCGGTACGGAGATGAGTATCTGGTTTTTGCGTGCACACAAATAAAAGAGCGGTTTCACACGTGCGCGCAAGTAAAGAAAATG